TGAGTGAGAGAGAAAGAGAGAGAGAGAGTGCGTGAGAGAGAGAGAGAGAAAGAGAGTGATTGAGAGAGAGAGATTGAGTGAGTGAGTGAGTGAGAGAGAGAGACATAGACAGAGAGAGAGAGAGAGAGAGAGAGAGAGAGAGAGAGAGAGAGACAGAGAGACAGAGAGACAGAGAGACAGAGAGACAGAGAGAGCAGTGACTCACCTAAGATATTGGAGCCTCCCCCTGTGCCGAGACTCTTCTTCTGTACCGACACGTTGATGAGGGTGAAGTTGGACGGTTCAGAGAAGTTACGTAGCTTTTTCACCTGAATCTCATCTTTGTACTGGGTCGTTGTCTGGGGAACAAAACGCAACCCAGAAAATATTTCTAAAAACTAGAAATGTGAAGCGTTCTGACGAAATGAGTTACTTCTCGGATTTGAGCCCTATGAAAATAGATACATTATCATGCTTATATGTTAAGTTTGTATAATTTGTGAGTATGGAATAACAAAAGGAATTTAGTATTTAATGAATATTGCATCAATAGAAAACCCAGAAACTTGTCCCTAGTGGCGACTTTTGGTCAATGTCTGCTTTTGTGGATTGTGAGAAGTAACTCATTTTGTCAGCACGCCTAACATATCACTAGACAAAACCCAGAAAGTATTTCTGAAAACTAGATATCACTAGGCAAAATAGTGTAAAGCGCATAGAACTTGCTGTTGAGCGGGGATATGCGCTATACAAATGCTATTTATTATTATTATTATTATTGTTATTATTATTATCATTATCATTATTCAAAACCCGAAAGTATTTCTGAAAACTAGATATGAATAGAGACAAACCGAGAAATTATTAATTTTCTGAAAACTACATATCACTAGACAAAACGAGAAAGTGTTAATATTCTGGAAATCGGATATCACTTGACAGTATGGGTTTGCATAGCTGTCTGTCAAAATGATTTTTTGAGAAATACTGAAAGTTTCAAAGAGATCTTCGCACTGGAAGTATTCTAAAATGTGACGAATACAACCCCGGGGGTACAAAATGACCCCAGGGCGTACGGATAGGGCGTAAGAAAATGACAGTTTACATATCGATCCTAGCGCTGAGGTATCCCGACTCCACCTGTTACCACTAAAATAACTACATGACATAAGAGAAGAAAGTTTGTGGGGGTGTCGAGGATAAGGGGCAAGCGAGGTTGGTGGATGGTGAAATAAAAATCAAGGTGCTGCATGCGGTATTGGGGCGACAGTGGATGATAAAGTGAGCAGTAACAATCGAAAGTTTGGTTTTCGTAGAGGTTTTACTGCGCTCGCAACCGCATAAGGTAATATAAGCGCCAGAAGATTAGAGGTGTTAAAAGAGAGTAACAAACATAAAAAAGAATAAGGGGAGATAAGGACTATAGATCTTCGATAGGAAAAACAAAGCAAACCACACCAGAGCACCCGCCAATCACCCACAACAATCGAAAGTGTTTGCTTACTTGTGTGAATGTCGCTGAAACAACGTTGTCGGGGAAAATGTTCCTGGAGAGAGACAAAACAGAGAACAAAGCGTTAATAAATAATAGCTACAGATCAGAGAGCTGAAGATTTGACCTTACATCTTGTATACTTTATTTACAGGATTATGCATAAGTCAAACAAACATTATTGCTTGTCCTAAGTTGAATAAAACAACTAAGACATTCCTTACACTGCATGCGCCCAGATTTTGAATTGCAATCTGCTACCAGGTTGTGTGGATGGATAGTGAATAATAAATAATGATAATAGATATCATTTGTATAACGCATATCCCCGCTCAAGAGCAAGCGCTATGCGCTTCACAATCTATACTATTACCCCAGCAGACCTGAGAGCATTCTGAAACAAACTCAACTTCCTGGGAAGTATACAGTTCAAGCAGCCATTTAGAGGCGCTAAAACACTAACGTGCTGACAAGATCTTTTGCGGTCTCTAGCCTGGTACCCATTCCCACCTGGGTGAAGTGAGGAAAATACGTGTAAAGTGCCTTTCCCAAGGACACAGCGTCGGGCCCTCGGCTCGAACCCCCGACCCCGCAACCTCACGATTACGAGTCCGGTTGCCTAACCACTTGACCACCGACGTCATAACAAATGCGTGTAAACTATGTAATGTAGTTATGTCCTCAGCAGCAACACCTACACTATATTATTAGTCATTTAGGGCAAACACACACGAAACGTGAGTGTGCATGTGTGTGTGTATGTGTGTGTGTGTGTCCGTGTGTGTTTGTGTGTGTGTGTGTTTTGTGTGTGTGTTGTGTGTGTGTATGTGTGAGTGTGTGTGTGTGTGTGTGTGTGTGTGTGTGTGTGTGTGTGTGTGCACGCGCGCGCACGTGCATATGTATGTGTGCGAGTGAATGAAACATATAATATAATTATTTTTATTATGTAAACGCATATAAATCTAGAGGCAAGAAACATATTAAGCTGATTCATGTCAAAATTGATGAACAGACACACTGACTGAGAACGAATAGACACATGGACTGAACAAGAACTTGAGTCTTGGCAAAAGACAAGAAGAACGTTAGAGAGACAGAGAGGTAGAGAAACGGAAATATCGATAGAAAAGGAGATGGGGAGGTTGTATCCCACAATCTACCGGACTGACATACCTGATCAAATCCGCAAACACATCCTGAGTGCTGAGGTCAGTGGAGAATTTCGTTACTTCATCGTCAGACAATGGTTTTGCATCTGCAACACAGCGAAAATCAATGATGTGGTGGTACTGACTCCACTCTTCTTCTGGACACAAAAGGAATCTTCAGTTTGAACATTTTGCTATCGCAGAATTACAAAGTTCTACCTCTGCTCAGTAGTTATTTTTGTGAAATTTGACGTCAATGATTTTGGGTTTCATAATGATAATTCCAAGCTTTTTCGAATGAAATTCTTTGAATACCTTGATAACGAATCCGAGTTATCTTTGGTTTTTGATAAAGCAAATAGAACATTAGGTTTCTGACCTGATTGTTCTTAGTAACTCATATTTTAGTAGAGGTTTTACGGCGCTCGCAACTGCATAAGGTATTATGAGCGCCAAGGGGTGGATGTCAACACAGAAGTACTTACAGGGAATCAGACTTAATAATAATAATAATAATAATAATAATAAATAGCATTTGAATAGCGCATATCCCCGCTCAACACCAGGCTCTATGCGCTTTACACTATATTATTACCCCAGCAGACCATAAAACATTCCGAAACATTCTCAGCTTCCCGGGAAGCATACAGTGCAAACAGCCGATTAAGCGCTCAAACACTAACAAACTGACAAGATCTTTCGCTGTCTATAGCCGGGTACCCATTCCCACCTGGGTGAAGTGAGGAAAATGCGTGTAAAGTGCCTTTCCCAAGGACACAACGTCGGGCCCCTGACGGGATTCGAACCCACGACCTTACGGTTGCGAGTCCGAGAGCCTAACCACTAGGCGACCTCTCTAGCTTCAACAGCACAAAGTCTGCTTCGACTATCAAGGCACCCCGGAAATAGCAGGTCACAAGAGTGTGACAAACATACAAAAGAAGTAGAGGAAAAAGACTATAGTAAGGATTAGGAAAGAAAAAGCAGCTGTTCCCTGCTGTAGTTCAACAGTTATGAGCATGACATTGTTAGATCAGCCCATTTACAATTCTACTGTGCATTAGAACGCGAAATGCCCCCCCCCCCCTTTTGAGAATGGCCAAAAGACACTTCAGTCAGTTGCACCACCCTGGGGGTAATTAGTAACTCAAAACGCCCAATGATCTCAGACAGAACTTCGTAATTCTGGAGTAGCGATTTGTCTCCGATAAAACAGAGTCAAAATGGCTGAAGGCTCTTGAAAACAGACCAAGCAACTCGTGTTTAACCCTATCCGTATGCCCTGGGGTCATTTTGTATGCAATTGCGAGCATCGTAAAACACTTACACTAAACAAGACAAGAAACAAAACCAAGCAATCCCCCCTCCCACAAAAACAACATCTGTACTCACCCGGCCTGAAGGCAAAGAACAAACACACAGCCAGAAGAACGGCAGCAACTTGGGACAGCAGGAAGCCTGCCGTGCCGGCCACAGCGATCTTCCCGTTACTTCGTGGGTCCAAACTGGCGGTGCCTGATGGGAGACACAGAGAGATGGAGAGAAGACAGAAGGGAGGTTAGAGGGGACCTGACAGATAGTCTTGGTGGAGTGGTGATGTAATAAATAATAAATCATGAATAAATAATTGTAGTGGCCTTCTCGCAACACTGCATGTGTGTGTGTGTGTGTGTGTGTGTGTGTGTGTGTGTGTGTGTGTGAGTGTGTGTGTGTGTGTGTGTG